TGCTAGGATCCTCTGAATCTTCACTAATTAAACACTCTAGTTGTTTTGGTGGATCCAACTCCTCTGAAAATTTTTATTGCCAATATTGTTACGACTTTTTAGGTGTCTTCAAGGACTTTGAATGAACCTTCAACTTCTTCAATTGATCAATGATACTCCTCAAATATACTTCAACAGCGTTGATAGATGCCACAAGTGGAAAAGGATCCTCATCAATCAACATCTGCTCTTTGTCAAGGAACCTCAACACTCCTCTGTTAATGCGATCCTGTAGAGCATTCCTGAAACTCTAATAGTTATTAGTATTATGGTTCCAGGAATCATGGTACTTACAGTATTGCTTGCCCTTCATCTCTTCTTTTGTCAGCAGCTTATGACCAAATAGAAGAGATGTAAATTTTTCCTTTAGTAAGGAATCAAATATCTCCTCTGTCTTAGAAACATCAAATGTGAATTGAGTTTTTGAACTGGATTTCTTCTTCTAAAAAGCTGTCTTTATTGGAGATCCAAGGTTTGGACACATAAGGAACCTGAATTCACCAAGTCAGCCACAATTATTTCCTGATGAAGCTCCTGATAGTAAGTTCCTGGTGAGTTTCTTTTCATCTATGATTCTTCTTTCAGCAGCTCTTCATATTCTGCTACCTTAGCCTCCAGCTTATAGAAATATCTAAACTCCATCCCTTGGAATTTCTTTTTCAGCTTGAAGTTCAAGCCTCTCTGAGCCATCTTGACAAACACATGTTCAAGTAAGAACGCCTTACAATTGTTCCTCAGCTTCTTAAACCTTACAATAAATGAGTCAGTCATCTCTCCACTTCTTTGTGTTAGCCTGGACAATTAGGCCATACAAACCTCTGGCTTAGCTTTAAAGAACTAGGTATGGAAGAGACGCTTCATCTCATACCAGGAAGAGACGCTTCATCTCATACCATGAATTGACTGAGTTCCTCAAAAGTGTTGAATACCAGGTGAAAGTTGTACCTGTCAAGGAGTCAGGAAACAATCACAACTTATAGTTAGCAAAATTCTCTAGATTGGCAAGTTCCCCATATTAGATGGTGAATTTGGCTATATGCTCCATGGTCGGTTGTCCATCTTCTCCAGAGAATAGTTTGAAGTCTAGAATCTTGTACCCTCTGGGATAAGGGTTCTTTTTATCGATGGTTTCTGAATAAGGCTTCATAAATTTTGGGCGGTCAACTTGCTTGAGGCTAGGGCCATACAACTCCTACACAGCATCTTCCAGAACATCCATGGTGACTTAGAGAATCTGAGGAACAGGATTACCTGCCGTTTGAGGAACCGTAGACAATGGTGTATGTATTTTTGGGAGCTACGTTGAAGGCAACCCCTCTAGTTCCTTTGCTTCTTCTTATGCCTATCAACGTCTGAGGAGCATTAGAAGCCTCAGCCTCATAGACAGCTGAGTTAATCATATGACGAGTGGTCTCGAAAATAATAGTAGGAGTTGTAGGCCTGCTAGTAGGGCGGCCTGTCTAGAGTGATGCCTTTGATGGGTGGTGCACCGGCTCCTCTCTTTGATGTGGTGGTTGATACCTCTCTTCAGAAAGAGCACGACCACTGTCAGTGCCCCCCGAGGGACTTCGAGGCGGTTGCCCCCCGAGTTCTTTGGCACACTTGGATGAAGATTCATTCTCCTCTTTAGCAGAAGACTTGCTAGTAGGAGACTAATTGATGGGGGAGTCCACAACATCATTCTTATTTCCAGTGACCTTCTCTATAAGGACATTCATGGTTTGTAGCAATTGGGCTATCATCTGACCATTATTCCTCTGTGCTTCCGGCATTGCCTTCAAATCAGAAGAACTAAAGTTAATGACAACATCATCAGAAATAGAAGGTGTTTTGCTTGAGCGTTTATTGAGATTGTCAGAGGTAAGTGCAACTTCTACTGGATTTTGAGCAGTAAAGTTGATTTCTCCTTCCTCATTTTGAGCAGGACAATTATTTGCTTGTTTATCTTCAAATATTTATTATATTACTAATTTTTGAGGCCCCATAGTAGAGTTGGTTAGAGCGTGGCTCTTATGAGCTGAAGGTTGCGAGTTCGAGCCTCCCCAAACCAAATAAGTTTATTCATGACGTTGTTTAGAAGCTATTTAGAAATATAAAAAATAAATAGTTAAATATTTTTGATATTTGCTTATTTATCTTCAGATATTTATTATGTTATCAATATTTGAGGTGTCGTAGCTCAGTTAGTTAGAACATTGCTTTTATAAGCCGAAAGTCGTGGGTTCGAGCCTTGCTGGGACCAAAATAAGTTTAATTATCACATTGATTGAAAGTAATTTAGACAAATTTGTTATTTTTCTAAAATAATATTTTTGAGATTAAAAAGTTTGTTATTCAAAACTACTTGGTTTTTTATCTTCAAAATTTTATTATATTACAAATGTTTGAGGTCTCGTAGCTTAGTTGGTTAGAGCGTGGCTCTTATGAGTTGAAGGTCGCGAGTTCGAACCTCGTCGCGACCAAATAAGCTTATTCATAACATTATTTGGAAGCTATTTAGAAATTAAAAAAAATAATAAATGAACATGCAAATATTTTTTATATTTGCTTACTTATCTTCAGATATTTATTATGTTATCAATATTTGAGTTCTCGTAACTCAGTTGGTTACAACATTAGTCTTATGAGCCAAAAGTCATGGGTTTGAGCCCTGACGGGACCAAATAAGTTTATTCATAACATTGTTTTGAAGTTATATAGAAATATTTGTTTTTTTTTCTATAACAATGTTTTTGAGATTAAAAAGTTTGTTATTCAAAACTATTTGCTTGTTTATCCTCAGATACTTATTACATTATCAATATTTGAGGTCCCGTAACTCAATTGGTTAGAACGTTGGTCTTATGAGCCGAAGGTTGCGGGTTCGAGTCCTTTTGGTAGGACCAAACAAATTTGTTCATAACATTGATTGGAAGTTATATAGAAATATTTCTTATTTTTCTAAAACAATGTTTTTGAGATAAACATGTTTTTGAGAATAAAAAAAGTTTGTTATTCAAAATTATTTGCTTGTTTATCTTCAAATATTTATTATATTACTAATGTTTGAGGTCCTGTAGCTCAGTTGGTTAGAGCATGGCTTTTATGAGCTGAAGGTCAGGAGTTCGGTCCTCGCCGGGACCTAATAAATAGAATCATGACATTTTTTGGAAGCTATTTAGAAATATAAAAAATAGAAAATAAATAGTTAAATATTTATGATATTTGCTTCTTTATCTTCAGATATTTATTATATTGTCAACGTTTGTGGTCGCGTAGCTCAGTTGGTTAGAGCGTTGGTCTTATGAGCCGAAGGTTGCAGGTTCGGTCCCTGATAGGACCAAATATGTCCAATTTTCACATTGATTGAAAGTTTGTTATTCAAAACTAATTGCTTGTTTATCTTCAAATATTTATTATTATACAAATGTTCACGGTCCTGTAGCTTAGTTGGTCAGAGCATGGCTCTTATGAGTTGAAGGTCGCAGGTTTGAATCTCGTCCGGACCAAATAAGTTTAGTCATAATATTTTGGAAGCTATTTAGAAATATAAAAAATAGAAAATAAATAGTTAAATATTTATGATATTTGCTTCTTTATCTTGAGATATTTATTATGTTCTCAATGTTTGCGGTCGCATCGCTCAGTTGGTTAGAGCGTTGGTCTTATGAGCCGAAGGTTGCGGGTTCGGTCCCTATAGGGACCCAATAGGTTCAATTATTACACTGATTGAAAGTTTGTTATTCAAAACTAATTGCTTGTTTATCTTCAGATATTTATTATTATACAAATGTTCGAGGTCCCATAGCTCAGTTGGTCAAAGCGTGACTCTTATGAGTTGAAGGTCGCGGGTTCAAATCTCGTCGGGACCAAATAAGTTTATTCATAATATTTTGGAAGCTATTTAGAAATTAAAAAATAGAAAATAAACATTTAAATATTTTTGATATTTGCTTATTTATCTTCAAATATTTATTATATTATCAATATTTGATTTCTCGTAACTCAGTTGGCTACAACATTGGTCTTATGAGCCGAAAGTCGTGGTTACAACATTGGTCTTATGAGTCAAAAGTCATGGGTTTGAGCGCTGACGGGACCAAATAAGTTTATTTATAACTTTGTTTTGAAGTTATGTAGAAATATTTGTTTTTTTTTCTATAACAATGTTTTCGAGATTAAAAAGTTTGTTATTCAAAACTATTTTTTTTCTATAAACAATGTTTCGAGCATTAAAAAGTTTTGTTATTCAAAACTATTTGCTTGTTGTCTTCAATATTTTATTATATTACTAATGTTTTGAGGAATATTTATTATATTACTAATGTTTGAGGTTCCGCAGCTCAGTTGGCTAGAGCACGGGTCTTGTGACCTGAAGGCCGCAGGTTTTAGCCTTGCCGGGACCAAATAAGTTTATTCATGACATTGTTTGAAAGTTAATTAGAAATATAGAAAATAAACAACCAAATATTTTTTATATTTGCTTATTTATCTTCAGATATTTATTATATTATCAATATTTGAGGTCCTGTAACTGAATTGGTTAGAGCATTGGTCTTATGAGCCGAAGGTTGTGGGTTTGAGTCCTTTTGGTAGAACCAAACAAATTTGTTCATAACATTGTTGGAAGTTATATAGAAATATTTCTTATTTTTCTAAAACAAACATTGTTGGAAGTTATATAGAAATATTTCTTATTTTTCTAAAACAATGTTTTTGAGATTAAAAAGTTTGTTATTCAAAATTATTTGCTTGTTTATCTTCAAATATTTGTTATATTACTAATGTTTGAGGTCCCGTAGCTCAGTTGCTTAGAGCACGGCTTTAATGAGCTGAAGGTCGCGAGTTTGGTCCTCACTGGGACCAAATAAGTTTATTCGTGACATTTTTTGGAAGCTATTTAGAAATAGAAAATAAATAGTTAAATATTTTTGATATTTGCTTCTTTATCTTTAGATATTTATTATGTTGTCAATGTTTGCGGTCGCGTAGCTCAGTTGGTTAGAGCGTTGGTCTTATGAGCCGAAGGTCGCGGATTCGAGCCCCGCCCGGGACCAAATAAGTTTAATTATCACATCGATTGAAAGTTTGTTATTTAAAACTAATTGCTTGTTTATCTTCAGGTAGCTCAGTTGGTCAAAAAAACTAATTGCTTGTTTATCTTCAGGTAGCTCAGTTGGTCAAAGCGTGTCTCTTTTCAAATAAGTTTATTCATAATATTTAAAAGTTATTTAGAAATTAAAAAATAGAAAATAAACATGCAAATATTTTTGATATTTGCTTATTTATCTTTAAATATTTATTATATTACCAATATTTGAGTTCTCGTAACTCAGTTGGCTACAACATTGGTCTTATGAGCCGAAAGTCATTGTTACAACATTGGTCTTATGAGCCAAAAGTCATGGGTTTGAGCGTTGACGGGACCAAATAAGTTTATTTATAACATTGTTTTGAAGTTATATAGAAATATTTGTTTTTGTTTTCTATAACAATGTTTTTGAGATTAAAATGTAACATCCCTTCTCGGTCCACCCGTAAACCCGAATAAACCGAGACGAGACGCTACAAACTGGTTGACTGTATGTCCTGTCATGCTGATAGTACAATGTTTTGAAGATTAAAATGTATACATCCCTTCTCGAGTCCACGCCGTAAACCCGAATAAACCGAGACGAGACGCTACAAACTGGTTGACTGTATGTCTTTAGGTCATGCTTGACATTTCATAGTCCCTTGGTTATACTGAACATACCTATGCATGCTTGATGCTTCTGTTTATTTATTACAATACTGAATGCTAATAATCTTTTACAAGAGCAATGATACCTATTTACAAACATGGATTGGGCCCAACTGTGTGCCCTGTAATGCCATCAAAGAGGAAAGTTTAATAACAATGAATGACTGTTTTCTACCCTTGAAGAGGCCGAGTCTTCTACAGCTGATAGGATGAACGGCAAGCAAAGTTTGTAAACGGACCCTCTACGGACCATAGTTCTTCTAAACGGACCCTCTATGGACTAGTCTCAAAACCTGCGAGTTAAACAGGTAACTCGCTGAGCAAATAAAGCTCAGTGGATATCTCAACATGGAAAGAAACAATAAAGCACATACTTGTATATAAAGAATCATGTAGGCACACAAGGCACAGCACACATATCATGATATCTTTCATTTATCTGTATGATTTATGCAATGTTATGTCCAGATATCTGTATGGCTCCATAAGGTTATAGCGAAATCGAGGTGATAAGAAAACTGTATAAACTGGATGAATACTGTATACTTGGCTGCTATGGCCCATATAATCATATCCACTCAACGGCCTGTAGCCGGAGTAAACTCAACAGCCTGTTAGCCCGGAAGTGGGATTTGAATAACAAACTGTGATGAGGCGCAGATCTGCTATCCTACTGTCGCGACCATTGGTCTGCTTATCGACAGTGGGTTGATCATTATTCCTTAATTCCTCATATGTTGATCATAATGTTTGGGTGTGAATGTGTCAAATGTATTAACACAACATCATAGGTACAATAGTTATATTCACTTCATAAGAGTTATTAATGGTGTGCATTTATGTCATTCTTTCGACATCATTTTGCGTGCTTGGATGTGTTTTGATTTACATGTTCTAATGTTGTCTTTTTGTTTTTGAAATGGATTGTGATGTCATACAAAGTTGAGCCAAAGAAAACCCAATTACATAGAAAAAGAAAAAGTTCCAAAAAGCGAATATGAAAACCAAGCCGGCGGAGCGCGCCTGTGAAGTCGGCCGAGGCGTGAGGGTGCAAAAAAATATTAGCAGCGACAGAATGTGTTATTCAGGGCACAAGAGAGAGAAAAAAGTCTACGAGCGATCAGCGTACCGGTTGAGAGCGCGCGAGAGACAGTGTGTTCTCAGGCACAAGTCGCGATCGCGTACTTGAAAGTCGCGAGCGCGTAGTGTGCCAAATGAGAGACAGTGAGTTTTCATGCCAACTACGCGAGTGCGCAATGTAAGTCGCGAGCGCTTCCAGGCCAAGGGCCAACTTCGTGAGCGCGCACTTGAGAGTCGCGAGCGCGTAATGTGCCAATTGAGAGTCAGAGAGTTTGAAGTGGAAGTCACGTGCGCGCAGTGCAAAGTCGCGAGCACGCGACGTGCTTCCAGCCTACGTAGTGCCAGGTCGCGACGCGTTTCCAGCCTGCGCAGTCTGCACTCTTTTGGTCATATCTCTCAATATACAAATCCAATTTGGGTGATTCAAAAACCCATGAAAGAACCCATCAAATTCTAACACATATTGGAACACTTTACTTTGTCGACACCACCGAACCCTTTTTGGAGTATCTCCTAGCTTCTTTTGACGTCTTAGCAGGGGTGACTATCTCGAACGCGGTTTCGTCGAGACCTTGATATATTGTGAACAAGGCCTTCTTCTCCCTCTTTCTTCCCACTCAACATGAAGCAATATATTGTCTCAGCATCAACACACCACACAAATTCCATGCAAAGAAAATAGGAAATGAAAAGAGATATCAAACCTCCACTCCAAAAGCTTGAGCTCTGTTCTAGCTTCTTTTCTCTACAAGCTTTGAACTCCCTTCTCCTATACACATCAGAATTCTTATAAATTCTCCACAATATAACTCAAAGAGGTTGAATACATAAGCTTCAAGATAGTCTACTTACTTGTTGAAAAATTGAGGTTGCCTAAATGGATGGAGAAATAAAGGAAAGGAAGGAGATGAAGAAGATGAAGATAAAGATGAACAATGGGAAAGTGAAAATGATGATTACGGGTAGGCCATCACAAAATCAAGATAAATGATGGAAACTTATGAAATGATACCTCTATTGTCAAAAGACTACAACTTAATACCCAAGCTTGATCTCCTAATCCTTAACACTTTGCCTCTTTTTCTCTCAATCAAGTAAGTCCACTAATATCCCATTCTACCCACCGGGTTTGGTTCAACTCACACTTCAACTCGGGGACTTCTATGTAAAGATCGACTTATTCCAAAGACTCGACTCAGGTAGGATGTTCACATAAAAAGTTTTGTTATTCAAAACTATTTTGCTTGTTTGTCTTCAGATAATTTATATATATTACTAATGTTTAGGTCCCGCAGCTCACCGCAGCTCAGTTGGCTAGAGCACGGGTCTTGTGACCTGAAGGCCGCAGGTTTTAGCCTCGCCGGGACCAAATAAGTTTATTCATGACATTGTTTGAAAGCTAATTAGAAATATAGAAAATAAACAACCAAATATTTTTTATATTTGCTTGTTTATCTTCAGATATTTATTATGTTATCAATATTTGAGCTCCCGTAACTCAATTGGTTAGAGCGTTGGTCTTATGAGCCAAAGGTTGTGGGTTGGAGTCCTTTTGGTAGAACTAAACAAATTTGTTCATCACATTGTTGGAAGTTATATAGAAATATTTCTTATTTTTCTAAAACAATGTCTTTGAGATTAAAAAGTTTGTTATTCAAAATTAGTTGCTTGTTTATCTTCAAATATTTATTATCAAATATTTTATGTATACTTATTTATTATATTACTAATGTTTGAGGTCCCGTAGCTCAGTTGGTTAGAGCATGGCTTTTATGAGCTAAAGGTCGCGAGTTCGGTCCTCACTGGGACCAAATAAGTTTATTCGTGATGTTTTTTGGAAGCTATTTAGAAATAGAAAATAAATAGTTAAATATTTTTGATATTTGCTTCTTTATCTTCAGATATTTATTATGTTATCAATGTTTGCGGTCGCGTAGCTCAGTTGGTTAGAGCGTTGGTCTTATGAGCCGAAGGTCGTGGGTTCGGTCCCCGCCGGGACCAAATAAATTTAATTATCACATCGATTGAAAGTTTGTTATTCAAAACTAATTGCTTGTTTATCTTCAAATATTTATTACTGTACAAATGTTCGAGGTCCCGTAGCTCAGTTGATCAGAGCGTGACTCTTATAAGCTGAAGGTCGCGGGTTCGAATCTCACCGGGACCAAATAAGTTTATTCATAATATTTGCAAGTTATTTAGAAATTAAAAAATAGAAAATAAACATGCAAATATTTTTGATATTTGCTTATTTATCTTGAGATATTTATTATGTTATCAATATTTGAGTCTGTAATCAGCCATGCGTTACCAAACATTGGTCTTATGAGCCGAAATCATGTTAACAACATTGGTCTTATGAGCCAAAAGTCATGGGTTTGAGCCCTGACGGGACCAAAAATTTTATTCATTTAACCATTGTTTTGAAGTACGTAGAAAATATTTTTTTTTTTTTTCTTAACGAATGTTTTTGAGATTAAAAGCTTGATTATTCAAAACTATTCGCTTGTTTATTCTTCAGATACTTATTATGTTATCAATATTTGATAGACACCGAGACAATACCCAGAATAAAAAAAAACATCTAAGTATGGATAGAGACATGGTCTTATGAGACACCGCAAGGTTGACAAAAAATAAAACGGAAAAAGAAGATAATCGAAGAATCTAATTATGATAGAATAACACTACAACAAATTTGTTCATCAACATTGATTGAAGTTGATATAGAAATATTTTCTTGAGGTCCCGTAACTCAATTGATTAGAGCATTGGTCTTATGAGCCGAAGGTTGCGGGTTCGAGTCCTTTTGGTAGGACCAAACAAATTTGTTCATAACATTGATTGGAAGTTATATAGAAATATTTCTTATTTTTCTGAAACAATGTTTTTGAGATTAAAAAGTTTGTTATTCAAAATTATTTGCTTATTTATCTTCAAATATTTATTATATTATTAATTTTTGAGGTCCCGTAGCTCAGTTAGTTAGAGCATGGCTTTTATGAGCTGAAGGTCGCGAGTTCGGCCCTCGCCGGGACCAAATAAATAGAATCATGACATTTTTTGGAAGCTATTTAGAAATATAAAAAATAGAAAATAGACAGTTAAATATTTATGATATTTGCTTCTTTATCTTCAGATATTTATTATGTTGTCAATTTTTGCGGTAGCGTAGCTTAGTTGGTTAGAGCGTTGGTCTTATCGTTGGTCTTATGAGCCGAAGGTCGCGAGTTCAGTCCCCGGTGGGACTAAATAAGTTCAATTATCACATTGATTGAAAATTTGTTATTCAAAACTAATTGCTAGTTTATCTACAAATATTTATTATTATAAAAATGTTCGAGGTCCTGTAGCTCAGTTGGTTAGAGCGTGGCTATTATGAGTTGAAGGTCGCGGGTTCGAATCTCGTCGGGACCAAATAAGTTTATTCATAATATTTTGGAAGCTATTTAGAAATTAAAAAATAGAAAATAAACATGCAAATAATTTTGATATTTGCTTATTTATCTTCAGATATTTATTATGTTATCAATATTTGAGTTCTCGTAACTCAATTGGTTACAACATTGGTCTTATGAGCCAAAAGTCATGGGTTTGAGCGCTGACGGGACCAAATAAGTTTATTTATAACTTTGTTTTGAAGTTATGTAGAAATATTTGTTAAGAAATCTTTGTTTTTTTTTTTCTATAACATGTTTGAGATTAAAAAGTTTGTTATTCAAACTATTTGCTTGTTTGTCTCAATATTTTAATTATATTACTAATGTTTGAGGTTCCCGCAGCTCAGTTGCTAGAGCACGGGTCTTGTTGACCTAGCCGCAGGTTTTTAGCCGACGGGACCAAAAAACGTTATTCATGACATTTGTTTGCCATGCTAATTAGAAATATACGAAAACAACCAAATATTTTTTAATTTTGCTTTGTTTATCTTCAGATATTTATTATGTTATAATATTTTGAGCTCCGCGTAACTCAATTGGTTAGAGCGTTGGTCTTATGAGCCGAAGGTTTGGTTTGGAGTCCTTTTGGTAGAAACAAACAAATTTTGTTCATCACATAGTTGGAAGTTATTTAGAAATATTTTCCCCTATTTCTTATTTTTCTAAAACAATGTCTTTGAGATTAAAAAGTTTGTTATTCAAAATTAGTTGCTTGTTTATCTTCAAATATTTATTATATTATTAAAGTTTGAGGTCCCGTAGCTCAGTTGGTTAGAGCATGGCTTTTATGAGCTAAAGGTCGCGAGTTCGGTCCTCACTGGGACCAAAAAAGTTTATTCGTGACGTTTTTTGGAAGCTATTTAGAAATAGAAAATAAATAGTTAAATATTTTTGATATTTGCTTCTTTATCTTCAGATATTTATTGTGTTGTTAATGTTTGCGGTCGCGTAGCTCAGTTGGTTAGAGCGTTGATCTTATGAGTCGAAGGTCGTGGGTTCGAGTCCCGTCGGGACCAAATAAGTTTAATTATCACATCGATTGAAAGTTTGTTATTCAAAACTAATTGCTTGTTTATCTTGAGATATTTATTACTATACAAATGTTCGAGGTCCCATAGCTCAATTCATAGCTCAATGGTCAGAGCCCGCGGGACCAAATAAGTTTAATTATCACATCGATTGAAAGTTTGTTATTCAAAACTAATTGCTTGTTTATCTTGAGATATTTATTACTGTACAAATGTTCGAGGTCCCATAGCTCAATTGGTCAGAGCGTGACTCTTATGAGCTGAAGGTTGCGGGTTCGAATCTCAGCGGGACCAAATAAGTTTATTCATAATATTTGGGAAGCTATTTAGAAATTAAAAAATAGAAAATAAACATGCAAATATTTTTGATATTTGCTTATTTATCTTGAGATATTTATTATGTTATCAATATTTGAGTTCTCGTAACTCAGTTGGTTACAACATTGTTGGTTACAACATTGGTCTTATGAGCCAAAAGTCGTGGGTTTGAGCCCTGACAGGACCAAATAATTTTATTCATAACATTGTTTTGAAGTTATGTAGAAATATTTGTTTTTTTTTTCTATAACAATGTTTTTGAGATTAAAAAGCTTGTTATTCAAAACTATTCGCTTGTTTATCTTCAGATACTTATTATGTTATCAATATTTGAGGTCCCGTAACTCAATTGATTAGAGCGTTGGTCTTATGAGCCGAAGGTTGTGGGTTCGAGTCCTTTTGGTAGGACCAAACAAATTTGTTCATAACATTGATTGGAAATTATATAGAAATATTTTTTATTTTTCTGAAACAATGTTTTTGAGATTAAACAATCGTTTTTTGAGATTTAAAAAATTTGTTAATTCAAAAATTATTTGCTTATTTATCTTCAAATATTTTATTATATTACTTAACTGTCTTGAGGTCCCGCTTTAGCTCAGTTGGTTAGAGCATGGCTTTTATTAGCTGAAGGTCGCGAGTTCGGTCCTCGCCGAGACCAAATAAATAGAATCATGACATTTTTTGGAAGCTATTTAGAAATATATAAAATAGAAAATAAATAGTTAAATATTTATGATATTTGCTTCTTTATCTTCAGATATTTATTATATTGTCAATTTTTGCGGTAGCATAGCTTAGTTGGTTAGAGCGTTGGTCTTATGAGTCGAAGGTCGCGAGTTCGATCCTCGCTGGGAAAATAAGTTTAATTATCACATTGATTGAAAATTTGTTATTCAAAACTAACTGCTTGTTTATCTTCAATTATTTATTATTATACAAATGTTTGAGGTCCCGTAGCTCAGTTGGTTAGAGCGTGGCTCTTATGAGTTGAAGGTCGCGTGTTCGAGTCTCACCGAGACCAAATAAGTTTAGTTATAATATTTGGAAGCTATTTAGAAATTAAAAAATAGAAAATAAACATGCAAATATTTTTGATATTTGCTTATTGTTACAACATTGGTCTTATGAGCCGAAAGTTATGGTTACAACATTGGTCTTATGAGCCGAAAGTTATGGTTACAACATTGGTCTTATGAGCCGAAAGTTATGGTTACAACATTGGTCTTATGAGCCGAAAGTTATGGTTACAACATTGGTCTTATGAGCCGAAAGTCATAGGTTTTAGCGCTGATGGGACCAAATAAGTTTATTTATAACATTGTTTTGAAGTTGCTTATTTATCTTGAGATATTTATTATGTTATCAATATTTGAGTTCTCGTAACTCAGTTGGTTACAACATTGGTCTTATGAGCCGAAAGTTATGGTTACAACATTGGTCTTATGAGCCGAAAGTTATGGTTACAACATTGGTCTTATGAGCCGAAAGTTATGGTTACAACATTGGTCTTATGAGCCGAAAGTTATGGTTACAACATTGGTCTTATGAGCCGAAAGTTATGGTTACAACATTGGTCTTATGAGCCGAAATTGTTATTTTCAAAACTATTTGGCTTGTTTGTCTTACAAATACTTTCATTATATTCACTAATGTTGAGGTCCCGCCGGACTCAGTTGGCCTTAGAGCGTGGCTCTTATGCAGCTGAAGGCCTGAGGTTTTTAGCCTCAGCTGCGGACTAAATAGTTTATTCATAACCATTTGTTTTTTAAAAGCCTAATTAGAAATATTAGAAAGAACTAAACAACCAAATATTTTTATATTTTCTTGTTTTCATCCTTCAGATACTTTATATGTTACTCAATACTGAGGGCCCGCTAACTCGAAATTGGTTTAGAGCGTTGGTCTTATGAAGCCGATGGTTATGGTTTGATCCTTTTTGGTAAACCAAACAAATTTTGTTCATAAACATTGTTGGAAGTTATATAGAAATATTTTCTTATTTTTTCTTAAAAACAATGGTCTTTGCGATTAAAAAAGCTTTGTTCATTTCAAAATTATTTTGACTTGTTACTCTTCAACAATTATTTATTATATTACTAAATGTTTTAAGGTCCCGTTGGGTTTGAGTCCTTTTGGTAGAACCAAACAAATTTGTTCATAACATTGTTGGAAGTTATATAGAAATATTTCTTATTTTTCTAAAACAATGTCTTTGCGATTAAAAAGTTTGTTATTCAAAATTATTTGCTTGTTTATCTTCAAATATTTATTATATTACTAATGTTTAAGGTCCCGTAACTCAATTGGTTAGAACATGGCTTTTATGAGCTAAAGGTCGCGAGTTTGGTCCTCGCCAGGACCAAATAAGTTTATTCGTGACGTTCTTTGGAAGCTATTTAGAAATAGAAAATAAATAGTTAAATATTTTTGATATTTGTTTCGTTATCTTCAAATATTTATTATGTAGTCAATGTTTGCAGTCGCGTTGCTTAGTTGGTTAGAGCGTTGGTCTTATGAGCCGAAGGTCATGGGTTCGAGGTTCAAAGTTTGTTATTCAAAACTAATTGCTTGTTTATCTTCAGATATTTATTATATTACAAATGTTTGAGGTCCCGTAGCTCTAGTTGGTTAGAGTGTAGCTCTTATGAGCCGAAAGTCGCTGGTTTGAGCTTCGTCGAGACCAAATAAGTTTAATTATAACCTTGATTGAAAGTTATTTAGAAAATTTTATTTTTTTTCACGAAAATTTTTTTAAGCTTAGTCTCAAAGGTATTTGCTTTTTTATCTTCGAATGTTTATTATGTGATCAATATTTAAGGTCCCATAGTTCAGTTGGTTAGAGCGTTGGTCTTATGAGCCGAAGGTCGCGGTTCGGTCCCAGCAGGGGCGAAAAAAGTTCAATTATCACGTTGATTGAAAGTGATTTAGACAAATTTGTTATTTTTCTAAAACAATATTTTTGAGATTGAAAAGTTTGTTATTCAAAACTACTTGCTTGTTTATCTTCAAATATTTATTATATTATAAATGTTTGAGGTCACCTAGCTCAGCTGGTTAGTACTTGGCTCTTATGAGCCGAAGGTCGTGGGTTCAAATCTCGTCGGGACCATATAAGTTTATTCATAATACTATTTGGAAGCTATTTAGAGAATAGAAAATAAACATGCAAATATTTTTAATATTTGCTTATTTATCTGCAGATATTTATTATGTTATCAATATTATTCTCTAAATAAACATGCAAATATTTTTATATTTACTTATTTATCTGCATATATTTATTATGTTATCAATATTTCCCATAACACAATTGGTTACAGCATTGGTCTTATGAGCCAAAAGTCATGAATTTGAGCCCTGACGGGACCAAATAAGTTTATTCATGACATTGTTCGGAAGCTATATAGAAATATTTGTTTTTTTTCTACAACAATGTTTTTGAGATTAAAAAGTTTGTTATTCAAAACTATTTGTTTGTTTGTCTTCAAATATTAATTATATTACTAATGTTTGAGGTTCCGTAGCTCAGTTGGCTACAGCATAGCTTTTATGAGCTGCAGCTCGCAGGTTCGAGCCTCGTCGGAACCATATAAGTTTATTTATGACATTATTTGAAAGCTATTTAGAAATCTAGAAAATAAACAAGCAAATATTTTTTTATATTTACTTGTTTATCTTCAGATATTTATATCAATATTTGAGGTCCCGTAACTCAGTTGGTTAGAGCGTTGGTTTTATGCACCGAAGGTTGCGAGTACGAGCCTCACTGAGAACAAATAAGGTTAATTGTAACAATGATTGAAAGTTATTTAGAAAATTTTTTTTCCTACAATAATGTTTTTGAGATTAAAAAGTTTGTTATTCAAAACTATTGCTTATTTATCTTTAAATATTTATTATATCACTAATGTTTGAGGTCCCGTAGCTCAGTTGGTTAGAGTGTAGCTCTTATGAGCCGAAAGTCGCTGGTTTGAGCCTCGTTGAGACCAAATAAGTTTAATTATAACCTTGATTGAAAGTTATTTAGAAAATTTTATTTTATTTTCTACAACAATGTTTTTAAGCTTAGTCTCAAAAGTATTTGCTTTTTTTATATTTGAATGTTTATTATATTATTAATGTTCGAGGTCTTGTAGCTCAATTGATTAGAGCATTGGTCTTATGAACTAAAGGTCTTGGGTTCGAGCTTGCCAAAATCAAAAAAGCTTACTACCATGTTTTTAAGTTGTTATTCAAAAGTATTTGCTTTTTTATCCTCGAATGCTTATTATATTATTAATGTTTGAGGTTCCGTAATTCAGTTGGTTAGAGCATTAGTCTTGTGAGTTGATGAGTTGAAGGTCACTAGTTCTCATAAGATATTCAAAAGTATTTGGTTTTTTTTTTTTTTTTAAATCTGCACAATACTTTAAAGTTGTTATTCAAAAGTATTTGCTTCTTTTTATCTCTGAATGTTTATTATATTATTAATGTTTGAGGTCTTATAGTTCAATTGATTAGAGCGTTGGTCAAGATAAAGGTCATAGGTTTGTTCTCTGATGGAACCATATTTTTTAATTGTAATTAAGCTTCCTCACAACAATGATCATAAGTTATTCAAAAGTATTTGTTTTTTTTTATTTTTTTATCTACAATAGTTTTAAGTTGTTATTCAAAAGCATTTGCTT